CCCATCCTAAGGTAGGAATTACGCTCTGAAGGCGTCCGCGGTGTGCATGGACGAGCCAGAGACCACTGACAGAGTCAAGAAATTGATGGCGTCTATTCACGATGGGATATCTTCTCAAATTGAATGCAATATTTTCAGTCAAGATTACATGAATACACTGTATATGACACTACAAATTAATCGGTCTGTGGCCCTTGTGCAGCTTCATATCGGTAAGTGTTATTCAAGTTGCACAGCTACGATACACCTACATATTTTATTGAGCAATTGAATACTAACACATACTAACACATAATCTCTTTTAATTTGTCATATATTTTTTTTTTCTGTGAAGCGTCTCAGCCAATGTGAATTGTGATGGTTTTATCATGACAAAGACATTATTCAAAAAAATCCCTTGTCATTTAATCCATATGAAATAAATATTCTATTAAAAACGTTTGAACCAATTATTTGTATATCGATGCATAAAAAAACTAAGGATAAAAAGAGTAATTCGACAAAAATAATGCAATTCCAAAGTTAAAACCTCGTTTTCTATCTATATTTGCTTAAATTTTAAAGTTGTCATGGCTGACTAAGAGACATAGTTATGGATGCAATTCCAAAGTTAAAACCTCGTTTTCTATCTATATTTGCTTAAATTTTAAAGTTGTCATGGCTGACTAAGAGACATAGTTATGAATGCAATTCCAAAGTTTAAACCTCGTTTTCTATCTATATTTGCTTAAATTTTAAAGTTGTCATGGCTGACAAAGAGACATAGTTATGGATGCAATTCCAAAGTTAACTCCTCGTTTTCTATCTATATTTGCTTAAATTTTGAAGTTGTCATGGCTGACTAAGAGACATAGTTATGGATGCAATTCCAAAGTTAAAACCTCGATTTCTATCTATATTTGCTTAAATTTTGAAGTTGTCATGGCTGACTAAGAGACATGGTTATGGATGACACGATTCGTTCAACACATTGCATTTCCAAATCAATTCTTAGTCCATTAAAATGCTATACAAAGTTATATTGATAACGCAAAACAAACCCTACAAGTTTTTATCCTGAAAGTATAATTATTATTCAACTGAGAATAGAATTAAACTGAAAATGTAATCATCTGGTAGCTTAGAACATATTCATAATGCAACTAAAAATAAATAATCATAAATCGAAAGAGAATGTTATCATAAAAATAGAACTGCGAAAATAGTCCTAATTAAAATTTAAAAAAAAAAAATTATCCACTGAGACTTTAATCATAAAACTATATCTGATACATTTTTCATAAATTAAGCTGATAATATGATCATATTGTTATTGAGAACATGCTAATAATGTAACTGAGTAAATTGCTGTACTGTAAGTTACAGTATTATCATAATGTAACTGATAATATTATTATAATGAGTTGAGAATATTGTTGGCATTTTTACGTCCCAATACCACGATGGTGTGGACTTTAGGAGGACGAAATCCACAGGGCTTGGGATTATTATTCTTAGATTATCAGCTTGTTCCCAACATCAAATAGCCTCTTTCCAAGGCACCGGGGTACCATGCTATATAAAACCACGTTTAATAATAATAACAATAATAATCAAAGACAACAGTAAGTGGATGACACGGCTTCGCGTCGGGTGATTAGTCGGAATATTCCGTACTTATTGGCCTACGGGATTGCATCTCTGGCTGTCAATTCCTTGTCTTAGATGCGTTGCATTCAAAGGTTTACGAGTCCCATCTACCGTGTGTGCTAGTAATGTTTTAGCTTGACCATTTGGCCAACCAGCACATGAGAGTATGCTTTTTTTTTAAATAAGTGAGAATACAGTCTTGATTACAATGAGCTTATGATAATGTATTTGAAAATATAATCATTTAAATATACAGTGCGAATATTATCATAACGTATTTTTTAAATATTTTCCAAGTAAATATCTCATAAGTTTCATTACAGTGATGATTTTCAATTCATTATATATCAAGTGTTCATTTCTTGAACAGATTCAGAACAAAGCGAAGACTACAATGTCTACATGAGACTTTTTGAGGCTCACAATCCAAGTGTTTCTCAGTTTGAGTCTCCCATACAAAACAAACAGAGAATTATCTACCTGACTTTTCCGTCAAGGCCAGTCATTTCGGGGCTAGAACTGAACATGCTCAAGGGTTCTCTTGCCATTTGCGAATTGGAAATCTTTGGAGGTAATCAACAACTGCATGATTTATAAACTAACTAATTCACATCTCAATATATATATATATATATGTATATATATNTATATATATATATATATATATATATATATATATAGACTTATCTTTATATATACACACACTTATCAAACATCGGGAATTGTTTTTCTTTTTCTAATATTTGTCTTAACTTTAATATTATTTTATCAAAACGCCAGATTGCACACCCCAGAATTTTGGCGTCGACTGTGAAAATGTTTGCCCCATGTCATGTTTAAACAGATTATGTAGCCAGGATGGAACATGTCTTCAATGTTATGAAGGAAGGCAGGGCCAGTTTTGTACTGAAGGTAACAAGAAATAACCATAGGTAAACGTGTTATGTTTATATGTTTAACCGGAAGCATAATACTCTTATTCATTGCGCTTTTCTTATTCAGTCCATGTTTAAAATCACGATATTAAAAAATTAAATAAAACTTATGTTTTCCTTTCGGCGTTAGATTGTGGAACATATAATTTTTTGTCAAAACGTCAGTATCCAATTCAATGTATATGTAAACATAAATATATAGAGAGAGATATGCATGATATGTGTAGATGTGTAATTTTGTGGGTAAATAAAAGTAGGAGCTAAGCTATCCGTACAACGCTTATTAAAAAAACTCACAAATTGAAAATGCCAATAATAACACAGAACAGTGAAAAAACGTGTGTTCAATAGCCGCGGAACCAAAATGTATGATCTAAGTGATTTCTTAGAAACAATTATAGTAATTGTATAATTTAACGCATTGAATGCGATATTATTTTATTAAAAATACATAAATATATGTGCTCTTCACAATTGTAATCATATTATTCTAAATAGGAAGAAAATAAAGTTATTAATTTAAAATTTCTCTTAAAATATTTTTTTTAATCAATAATGGCGGCAAAGCAGAAAATTAAAATATAGACAATTGAAATAAATGTTTTAACTATGTGGTACTATTTAATGTTTTCAATTTTTAAGGGTGATGAACATGTGGTAAAAAAATAGGTTCGAAAATGGGTTACAATTTAGTAATAGTGTCTCGAGTATATTACATATTTATTGCTTTTACATATATCAATTTAAAAATAGACGACCACCTTCTTTAAATACAGTTACAAAATTGCTTTACGGTACGCATTTATGGGGTTACCTAATATCACTTAATAAAATCATTGTGCTCGGGGGGGGGGGGCGGAGGATTTCTTATTTGGTGACAAGCAGCCCAAGATACGTCATATCATTGGTTGGGACATGTCTCGGTTATAACCATATTTCAAAGTTTAATTAGCCTGCAAAATGAAAAATCTTTATACACATTGTTTTAAGACTAATAGAATAAGATATTCAACTAACCACGGCAAATACACTTGAGAGGAAGGAAAAAGGATGGGCTAATTTTGTATGTGATTATCAATTTATTTAAATTCGATAGCATTAAAGTCGTAAATACGTGGTTTTAGTATTTCTTTTTTGTAATAAATACATGCGCTTTACAATATTGTCGTAAAATGCTGTTCAAGAGCATTCACAAATTCTAGACACAATTGCATAAGTTTGTCTCAAAATGCAAGTTAATTGGAACGGGGAATATAGTCGGTACAATATTCTTTAAAACGAGGACATCCTAATTTTTTCCAGTTATAAATATCAGTTCTGGAGTGAGGATAAGGGTTGATCACAATCTTATTAGGATAAAATTATGTTCGTATTACTTTAAAAATATAGAATTTATTTCGTTAAAACACCTTTTTTAAATAGGTCAGAAACTCAGTAGTGATTATTTATTTTTGGATAGAAATAAATAAAATTATTGGAAATTTTAATCTTAGATACAACAATCCTTAAACTTGGTATCTATATATATTATATATGTATACATATTTATATTTTATGTTAATGTTCTAATGTTCTACCCACTTTTGCACCGTTTATTTAAATAACTATTTCAGAAAAACTAAAGAAAACTTGACACCAAATGCACTTCCGATATATATATATATATATTTTTATAATTGGACTTTGCACAGTTATTGGGAGTTTTATTTCATGAAATTAGAGGGATCATATTACCCTAACGTCTTCCCTCCCATCACTACCACCCACCTAAAAAAATACCTCATTAGGAAACAAACTGAGTTATCATAAACAGCATTTTCTCTTACCAATTGTACACCAAAAAACAAGACCACTTATACATTTCGTTTATGAATGCTAAATCTACCGGTATTTTTCAAGGATTTTGTAAATTGAGTATAACTGTGAAAGAATTGCGAATGCAAATTTAAAAAAAAAGGTTCAATGGAAACTTCGCTAATCGGTAAACGTTCAAAGTACAGGTCGCGATTGCAGTTGCCATTATTGTAGTAAGATTTATTATTTTCATTTCATGAAGGTCATTTGCTGCCGTTTTCAGGAAGCTAAATTTTTGAGATTTCGACAATTCAATTTATAGCTATTAAAAATTAGTTTTACATATTTCGTGAAAATGCTTTTAAAATGCAAAGCAAAGAGCATCTTCACATTTTACACAGATGAATATATATATAAACCCTACCATTTTCCAGAAGTCATATTTTTTTTTTAAAGTTTGGTTAATTTTGAAAGAAGATATCAACATATCAAAATCCATTAATGTGAACGATATTTAAAATGTTAAAAGTTTTTATTTTTTTAAAGTTGACATGTATTTACATTTTTTTTTTTTGTAAATGAGTGCATTTCTTCGTAGCCATCTTTCAATGTGTTCACTATGAATGACCAGGTAACACAGGATGCCCAAGTGGATACATGGGTCCAAAATGTGAGCAGCTGTGTCACTGCAATGGTGGCGCGTGCGATCAAAATGGTGAATGTAAGGGCGGTGTGAAATGTAAGCCCGGATGGTTTGGATTGGCTTGTCAGTACCGTAAGTTTTGTCAAAGTATTTAAAATTTAAACAATTATTTTATTATTATGTCTTTGATTTTTAACTTAAATATTAGGCTTATCGCTTTATAAATTGTACATTCCATTTTATTTATTCAGCAATGTAGAAAGTAAATTTTCTAAATTAAAAAAAAATGTATATATAAAAATATATATATATATAATTACAATGTGTTCTCTCATAGCATTATTGATGATTTAATATGTGTTTAGGTGACGCTGCTTTCCATTCCCGTGTACCCAATCCACTTCTAATTGATGGAGACGACAGCACCTGCTTTGCTCCGTCCAACAGATCTGTAACAGTTTCATTAGATAATGCAATATTATTTACGTGGGCCAGGCTTGTGTTTCATGATACAGGTATCTTTGCATGTCGCTTCGTTGGCAATAGCATTGTGGCTATTTACATCGTAAACTTCAAACTAATGACTTGCAATTTTATGTACATGTAAAGCCTTTTCTGAGCAGATTATACGTTTACACAAACAGCTTATCAGAGACCAATAACAGATAATATTACCAAGGCAACAGATTGTCAGGGCACAGAAGCAAAATATAAGATTACGGCAAAAGATTATCAGACCTTTGCTAGAGGTTATAAGACAACATAAGGATATTATAAAAACCCATCAACCCATTATCAGACAACGGCAAAATGTAAGACTACAGCAGCAGCTTATAAGACCATAGCGACAGTTTATCAAACATCATGAACTGATTATAAGACAGTGTAAGCAGATAACCAGACCCAAGCGAAAGATTATCAGACTACAGCCACAGAGTATAAGTTTACGGTAATAGATGATCAGACAAAAAGAAAAAATTATTGATTGATTGATTTATTTGATATTTATATCGCGTTGGTATCCATGCAATTTTAGCATGCTCACTGCGCTCTGGCTTTCAAAAATCTATGAAAACAAAAACAAATTTAAATGGTTCTTAAATGATTTTTTTATAATGTTCAATTCCCCTTTAAGATTGAAACAAACTGTTTCATAATTTTGGCGCTCTTTAAGGATACATGTTTATAAATAAATTCTTTAAGATATTCCGGTCCTGAGCTATCTATGCAGCTGTACGCCAGGAAAAGAATTTTGTAGTTAATGCGCTCAAACTCAGGAACCCAATCGAGATCTTGTAGAACTCGGGTGATGTAGTCAGATTTCATCATCCGCGATACAATGCGTGCTGTAGTATTTTGTATCTTTTGGAGTCTCTGAATTTGGTTCTGAGGTAAACTCAACAAACAACTGTTACAGTAATCTAATCTTGACTGGATTAGAGTTACCGCTACAGCATCAGCTGTTCTCCTATTGAGTTGAGGACGCAGCTGACAGAGGGCACGCAGATGACAGAAGCATGCCTTGACCACAGAACTTATATGGGGAATCATACTGAGTTTACAGTTAATACAAAAGGCAAGGTCTCTGACATTCGAGGACAACGGGATCTCTGATTCATCAACCTTTATTGATGCAATGGCAACTTTCTGAAGATTGGCTTCTGAACCACAAATAATTGCCTCGGACTTATCATTATTTAATTTTAGTCTGTTTGATGACATCCATTCTTTCACAGCAAGACAGCAGTCCTCGACAGCCTGAAAAGCAGCAGCACCCTCCCAGGGATTAGGGCAGAAAAACCTGTATAGTCCTATATCATATGCAAAAATTTTGCGGGAAATGCCATGGCTTTCAATAATTGTGCCGAGCTGGCTAGTTTACATGGAGAACAGAATAGGTCCTAAAACTGAGCCCTGTGGCACACCACAGGTAACGGAAGTGTCCATCGAAGATGCCTGCTTTACTACAATACGCTGAGTCATGTCAGCCAGATAAGAAGAAAACCAGCGAAGTGCAGTTCCAGTGATGCCTGCAACATTCAGAAGTCTTGACAGAAGAAACGTATGGTAAATCACATCAAAAGCAGCACTGAGATACACGAAGACCAATATTGTCAGTTCGCCACGGTCAGCATTACAAAGAAAATCATTCATAACACGGAGCAGTGCTGGCTCACAGCTGTGCCGAGGTCGATATGCAGATTGAACATTATCAAGCAAGCCATAAGTGTTTAGATGCCGTAGATGCTGCTGTGACACAATTCTCTCAAGAATCTTAGATACAAAGGGCAGGTTAGAGACCGGACGAAAACTCTTGCAGTCATTTGGGTCCAGGCCACTTTTATTAAGCAAAGGCTTAACGACCAGGGACTGTAGCAGACTGAAGACTAAAATTAATGATGTTGACCAGTACAGGAAGCAAGACTTTCAGACAGTCCAAAACAATCCAGGTTTGGGCTGGGGTGGACAATCAGTCCACACCATAATATTATCCTATCATAGATGCAGATTATCAGGCAAAGAAGCAGATTATCAAGCCTAGGCAACTCAAATATCCGGTCATTGCAACAAATAATCAGATAATGACAGCAGATTATAAGACCATATCAGCAGATTATTGGACCTCAGCAATAGATTTTAAGACAATATATGTAGACATAAATACCATAGTATGTTGTATATTTAGCAATGCTCCTATATAACGGAGCATATTAAAAGGTAAACCAAGGACTAAAACATGTTGCCTTTGCTCTAGCTTATGTGTTCCTAGAGTCTCCGAGATTTGATGTGCTGAAAGACGGCGCCATGCAAAGTTTGACATGCGATGCTTGGCGAATCGCTGAAATAACGTCCTACAGATTTGATGTCTTCTGTGCCAATGACCTTGTCGTTGGTGCAGTGACCTTCAAGTGGAAGGGGTTTGGGGAGATATGTTCATTATACTTCAATGGAGGTAGGTGCACACACGAAAATATCATGTTACTTTCTTTGACACACATGTGTTTTTATGTAAATGTTTATGTTTGGGTTAAACTTGAGCCTAAACAAAAGAAACGACTTTTTATTTTTTTCCCTTTTTAAACATTTCTTTCATTAAAAACTTTTTTCAATGATTTTTTTTTCTGTCCCTGGTAAGATCAAAGGTTTGATGTTATGTCAAATTTAATTTTTTTTTTTTTAAATTCAATGTGTATTTTTTTTTTTTAATTACAGTTTGAAGTAAATAAATAAATAAATATCAGTTTCGAAAAAAAAAACCAAAAAAAAAAATTAGCAACCAGACAAAAATATTGACATTTGAAACTTTTTTTTTTTTTTAAATTTATTGTTTTTTTTTTTTTTTTAATTACAGTTTGAAGTAAATAAATAAATAAATATCAGTTTCGAAAAAAAAAACCAAAAAAAAACATTAGCAACCAGACAAAAATATTGACATTTGAAACCCCTGTGCTCAATTATTTTTCATAGTAACATCATTTCATTTCTAGGTAATACGCTTGCGCGAAGCTCAGTTATGAAAGTCCCACCTTTGTGCCCCGTTGAATCATTTAATCATGTCCAGGTTTTAATGGATGAAGATACCACGGACAATAGTGGCAGTGTTTTCAACAGTTCGATAAATGTTCTTCATGTTTATTTCGAGACTAATAAACATATAACTGGAATAAATATCATTACAGGTAAAAAGTCTATGAATAGAACAACTGTTTATACACATTATACACGTCTCGCTAATAATAACAACAAGTCATGAATATTTCATTGAAAGTATAATATTCAAACACACTGGTATTGATTTGATAATTTGTTTTTATAATTTTTCCCTACACAATAGCAAGTTTCGTCATAAAATTAAGTTTTTTTAGTAATTTAAAAATTTTTTTCACAAAGTTATTTATAACTATTTTTGATCTTCCCATCTACTAAAGTCTCTAAATTTACTTGACAAACTATGAACTCAAGTAACAGACATTTAGGTATCCCAATTTTCGTTACACACCTTCCCCCGTGATACGTCACAGCACATTATTTTTTATTTCACGGCATGAATTATATTAATATTCTTTATCCCAACCACCTTTTAACCGAATATTTATTACGCAATATTTAAAAAAGAGAGGAATACATTTTCCGAAAAGAAAATATTACACACAAAACGTAGTTGCGTTATTTGTTAAAAAAACAACACAAAAAAACAACCATTTCGTGTAGTTATTGGGAATTTAATTAATATTGCGCTATGTTATACTCACTAGTAAAAATACTTTCTCTTAAACATAGAGAATTATAAATACTATAATTCATTTAATTAATTATTTTACAAACTAATAATTAATTTAGCGAAAGCCTCTTTATTTAAAAAAAAAGGTTATTACAAACACATCGTTACTAACTACGCCATCACCGCTGCTCCTGCTACAACATAACATTAACAACGCAATTTCCCATACCAAAATATACGTATCAAAATACAAAGCATATAGCAAAAGCTACGAAAATAATCTTTACCAAATGCGCCGATATGAATCAGTCAGCTCATTAAGAATCAGCCGTAATTGAAAGCAGCACATCAAAAGCGTAACATATATAAGATTTTATTTTTTTTGTTTTTTTTGTTTTTGAGTTTAAATCATGTTTATTTTTTTAAATATTTTTTTCTGTAGGTCAAACATTACTAAAAAAATATCTATTTAATGTGAAATGTCTGGATGCCCACAATACTACGGTGTGCAGCTATGTTTCCAGCGGCATTCATCAAAAAATGTTTTATATTGCAATAATGAAACGGAAGGTGACCAAAATAATCTTACAAGTTTCTGGTGGATCAATGGCGATAAGCGAATTGGAGGTATACGGAGGTAAAGGCTTTTAGAAATTCATTTGTAATAGATCTGTGTATTTTATTTATGCGTCTCTGGATAATTGTGCCCAAATTTTTCTTTATGTCTGTCTAGGATATTTTTCTCAATGTAAACCGATTAATAAAATACAGCAAATTATGAAATTATGTCAAAAAATAGATTTAATATTGCAAATAGTCTTGGAACATATATTTCACTTAGCTAATAGCGAATTGATTACAAATTAGTTGTATATGAAACCTTTTTTTAAAGTCAAAAAAATGTTCAATTTAGTTTTTAATGTATTCAATAGGTAATCTCCTTTCTCACATATGTAATTTATTTATTACTCAGTATATATTTTTTTTCAAAAAGTAAACCTCTGTCTACGGTAAGTCGTCTGCTATAATGACCTCTGAAGGCAGCAACTGGATGGCGCACCCCAATGGCTGACAGTGTGTTTGAGAGGAATTATATGTACAATTGAGATTTGCATCGCTTCTGCGAATCTTGGAGCTTTTGAAAAAAAAAGAAAATCACAGCTTCGTCCAAATTTCTAATCCAAAAATCGATTGTAAATTTTGTTATCCCTACTTGACACTCTCGTTACTGGAGCAACCTACTTACCCCAAACGTTATCTCCCCAATCTTTTCATCACTTGGACCACTTATCAGCCATTCATGACATTCGTATAAGCAATTATATCAAATTCCCAGGACTTTTTTTTTGCACTTTAGTGTTTTTAAAAATGTGTATAATGATAATTATTTTCATCTATAGTTTCTGGTTAAAATTTTAATATTATAAAGAAAGTCTAGGCAGGAAACATGTTCACAAATTAATGAAAAAAAATAAAGCATTTAAATTTATTCTGTTTTCTTTCCTTATACTCTTTTGGCTTCTTCGAGTGCCTTCTTATCCTTGTGCTCGGATAATCTTCGCGCAACGCATTTTATACATTTTAAATGATTTTTTTTTTACTGTTAAGTGCGTTTAATAACATCTTTCAATTTTCTACTTAAACAAAATTTATATCTTAACGTTTTTTTGTTTGTTTATGAGTTGTATTTTTTCTTTGTGTTGTTGTTGTATTTTATATTCCATTTAATTTATTGTAAATGATCACCTTTCCAGACTGCCCGCCGCCTTACTATGGATTAAACTGTGAGAAAAAATGTAGTGCCACATGCGTCGGTGGAGTCTGCAATCACAACGGAACCTGTCACATGTGCAGTGGGCAAGATGTTGACCAGCATTGCTCAAAGAAGGGTTAAGTTGCTTGAATACTTGAACTTATCTTTCACTCGAACGCTCGCAAACTCACGCTAACACACCCACACATCAAGAGCTTCACACCCACAAAACCACACACCAACCCACAAAATAAACATACTTATTTTTTTTTTTTAGAAACCTGATGGAATTATTATATAACATTATTATTATAGTATGCAATAACTCATTATCTTTACAACTAAGATATTTCCATGCGTTTTTAATGATGTGACTTTGCCTTTTTGAACTTATCTTTACCACGAACGCTCGCAAACTCACGCTAACACACCCACACATCAAGAGCTTCACACCCACAAAACCACACACCAACCCACAAAATAAACATACTTATATTTTTTTTTTTTTTAGAAACCTGATGGAATTATTATATAACATTATTATTATAGTATGCAATAACTCATTATCTTTACAACTAAGATATTTCCATGCGTTTTTAATGATGTGACTTTGCCTTTAATCCATTTTAAAACTTAATTAATTGATACAACAGGTTACGTTGCAACCACAAAAAAGCCACCAAGAGGTAAGTGGAAATTGTATTATGCTTGCTTTTTTTTTATATATCAAATGGAGGAGAAAAAGAAATAATGGTTTTACATTTTAGTTTCCAGCATCATATATCGTTAGCACAATATATTTAGATATATATATACACATAACTTAGTTATTATGTTATTACAAATGTTGGTATTCATTTCTAGTTTAACAAACCATTCACATCAATGTATGCAAAGTATGAACATAATCTTAATTCATAACTTAAAATCTAAAACTAACATTTTGATTCCAGCTTTAAATTTAGCTCTCCCTTATGCTATACGTTTTACAAGATCATACAACTTGTAATTATAGTATCACCCTTTTTGAAAGCCTTAGAGGTTGTCTGAATTTTATAATATTTTTTTACATTCAAAAAATAAATTCCAAAACATAATTATCATAAAATTATTTTACTGAAAAAAAAATTAGAGGTAAACCCTTTGAAATTATGAACTCATATTATAAATAGCCTACAGATATATATATATATACTTATGTATATATATATATATATCTATATATATCTATACATATATATATAAATATATATATATATATATATATATATATATATATATATATATATATATATCAAAATATTTTTTATGTATTA